GGGGTGCACAAGGGCTCCTCGTGTTGAGGTGCAGCATTTGGGGGTGGCCCAGATGCCCAGACACCCACAGGTCCCTCCTCCCAGCCCTGCCACTGCCAGCTGTGGCCATCCCCATGGCTGGAGCGCAGTGGGAGGGGATATGCAGCCTGGGAGAGGGTGGAGGGCCTGCTTTGCACCTCAAAGGCTTGCCCCTGCACCCTCCTCCCCTTGGCAGAGGCATTTAACTTCATTATCGAGTCCTTTCACACTCCGTGGGGCTCATTAATACCCCGTCCCCCACCCCAGACCCCGGCGTGGGAGGAGAGGCCCCCCCCCGACACATTAGCACCCAGCTGCCAGGTCCCACCACCCTCCTGCTAATGGGGACCCCAGACCTCGGGTAGCCATCAAGGGGCTGGGGACAGAGGGGCCCTGTTGCAGCCCCCCACATTCCCCCACACCAAGCTGGACCCCAAATCTCCCCATTTTACTCTGTGGGAGGGCTCCCACAGGCCAAGAACCACCAGGTGAGAGGGCTGGATCTAGAGGGTGTTGGGGACCCTCACCCCTCCCTGGCCAGGGGTCAGACCCCAGGGCAGGGTGGGTCTGCCTCGATACCCCCCCCAATTGCTCTCCCAGATGGTGCCTGGCTGCCCCACAGCCGCCAGCCCTGCAGCCCAACGAGGGCACCCTGGGTACACGGCATCCCTGGGCACACCAAACCCCATCCCATGCCCAGCTCCAGGGAACATCCACACGGACACACACGGGTAGGGCACAAAGATTTATTCACATCCAGCCGTGGCTGCCCAGTGTGTCCAGCACAGCTCCGGCTCCAGTGCGGGCAGCTCATCCCCGCAGCTGTCCAAGAGGTCACACGTCCTCCAAGTTGCCAGTGTCTGGATGGGCGTTGTGGGGCAGCAGGTGCTCCACCCTCAGGGTGCGTCCAGGTCAGTGTCGGGGCTGTGGTGGGAGCAGAGCCTCCAGCAGCGAGAGCAGGTCTGCAGAGAGGTCCTGGGGAGCAGATGGGGAGAGGGTGAACGGCCAGGCAGGGGTCCAGGCAGGGCTAGAGGTGTAGGGGTGACAGCCCACCCCCTGGAAGGCCTCCCTGCCAGGGACGAGTAGG